TGTATAATCCATATTAGCTCCCAAAATACACATAACACTAAACCCAGGTAAAACTAAACTGCTTTGAACTTTACTAAACAAATGTAAATTGCAATGATGAACAGCTGACCCTGTGCATAACAAAAAAATATTACACTTAGTTTACTTACATACTCAATCTTCATTTGATAGTAATATCGCGTAGCATAGATGACCACACCAGAGACTGCAAGTGGAGGTATCAAGGATATTGCCGAACTTAGTAGAAGTAAGACAATGCTGTATGCAATATGTCGACCAAACACTAAAAAAAGTGTTTTCCAAAGGGAAACTATGCGGTTGAATGCTTGAGCTCTTTCCTGTCAATACAATAATACGAATACACAACACGTCAATGCGTTTATATGCATCGAAAACAAAACTTATAATCGAAAAAAAGTACATGGCCTAGCATTTGAAGTATATCCTAAATACACCAGTTTGGTGTCAAAAAATAGTCAAATCGCGCTTACCTGTTCAACTGTATATATTTTATTAAATTGTTGGGTTACAGTCTCGCATTCATATTCATCCGGCAAACTCCCTAAATCGTTTACTTCTAATTGCCGTTTGTTACCTAGAAGTATTAACCAATTTGCCCACCATGCTGTAAGGTATGATGGCAGGTTCGTGTATGACTCTCTCAAATACATGTCAGGTTTCCGGAGGTCTGGAACAGGCGTTTTTATTGGATGGCGGTGAAATACCTGGGAAGCAAGGCGACATAAGTTAAAATAGAAAATAGTACTTCCAGATACCGAATCACCAGGGGACTATATTAATGTACCATTCAAAGCCGGGTATATTGTTATATACTATGAGTTATTCTTATTGAAGTGATACAACACAACACATGAAAGAATGATTATTGCAATGTTTTTTTTTCAAATGAACCAATCTTGTATTTACATTTTTTTTTTCATTTTTTTTAAATGTCTCAAACCATGAGACTAATTTTATAACCCCAATAGAGCATACAATCACACCATACACGTCATAATAATCAACTTACCTTGTTTCTCAAAATGTTAATTTCTGTAGCCACACAACTGAGATGTACAACCATAATAATGACAGCGATGTTATGACGTACAATATTTGAATTGAATGCATCATACTGTGATAACCGGACTTCAACGATAAGCTCCCCAATAAATGCCATAATCCAGTAAAGCAACAACCACCATACAAGATGAGGTCGATTCCAACATTCCATATGGTGGTAATATACTAAACTTGTTATCACACCCAACAATGCCATCACTTGGGGGATATACAAGTAAGGGTTAGATTCAATATTTCGTGACGTGTCAGTCACAACGCCTTCCATTAAACTGAATAATATCACGACAAACAGCGTCATGCATATTGTCCACTTGAAGTTATGCCATGGGTATTTGAATAAAAGCTTGTGATCACTGTAACGTAATTTCGTACAGAATCGTAAAATAATAAGTATAACCAAAGCCACCAGGATGAATGAAGCATGGATCGCTATTTTTAGATGAATGGCTGATGATAAATTCTCTAGTGACGTCACACCACAACTGGTGATATTACAGTCCTCCATTTTCTAGTTGACGTGTGGTCAAGACTGTTAACGTAACCGTTGGTTGACATAAATGTGCTATATAATGATTGCAATACGTAAATCGATGTCTATGACAACACGTCCATCACTGCGTATGGAAATAAATTATGATTAGCGAAACGGAAACATATATCAGTGTCCAGACGTAGTAGTACAGAACAATTTAATAAACAATTGAGTGTAGCTCTTTCGATAATAAAGATAATGTAATCACACACACACACACTATATATATATATATATATATATAGTTGTTTTACAGAAATGTAATATGGCAGCCGTTGGAGGACATACCTTGCCACATACAGAGAATGTCTATTTTGGGCTCATTGTTACCATGTTAAAATACATTATTTGGACTGCTTGTATCGTTGTCATTAGATATAAGAGCAATGTGATATTATTCTATATACATTCATATGTCTATCAAATTCATAAAACAGTATCAACCAGTCTAGGGATGATTCATAGAGCGAATAATATTTGAGTATGTTAATCACGGTGATTGAACAAATTTAAATTTGTCCTTCAGGTACTAGAATTCGTAATAGATATCTCAAGTAGAAATTAACTCACCATTTCAACCAGTCCATCGCTATTCGGGCTTGTCGGGTGTGCCGTATTGTGACTAATAATATCCACCAAATATTGTGCGTCATTTTCATACGCCTACACACCTTAGTTATTAAGGATTTGAATGATAAAAATTGTTCCACCTACCCGGATTTTTATCACCATATCTAGCAATTTCATGCGAAACAACTGTCAACAGAACACTAGGGGATGATGATCTATGACGTACAAATAGAAGTATTTGTATCTTCCAAAGCTTAAAGATTTAAGGATGTTAGCATTTTTTGCAAATATTGAAAAACAGATGAATGAAGCATAAAATGGCACATTCGGTGTATGTAATACCTGTATGATTGTTCTAGTCTTTTAAATTTATGACCAGAATAGAACCCTCGATTATTTCACCATCCATCCAACTGAGGGCGCGCTGCATATAGGTCTGAAGGTTTACTACATTATGTGGACTGGCAGTCATGAAATTATGCATAGTATATAAATGTATGGCTGTTTCCGATCATGAGGAATCACTGCTGGTGAATTTTATCTGTTTGTTGGTCAGGAAACGTGTACGTCTCAAAGATGAATTATGGAAAGCCAAATTTACCAAGGTTTTCACCCTTTATTAGGCGAATTTAGCAGTGTAAACATATCAGTGCTGTAAAGAATTGGGATTGTACTTCAAAATAATTGGGCTACTACAATAGCATATGTGCGATAAATCTTTGTATTAAAACCAAAAAAGAGTACTTAATATCACTTGACGCTTGATTGTCACGAATTACCTGTTTGTAAGAGTAGAGAAGTTTTATGCATTATACTGCATTGTGTATTGAAGATACAGATTCACTACTACCTGGATATTATGCACATAGACGTACGTAATAATTTGAATAAATCATTATTTATTTAGATACGATATTTATTAATATATGTTATCTGCAGATACGACTGATGTATGTTGTAATTATACACTTATTAATGTTTACTAAAATATGTCAATTAACATTAATCACATTTATACAGTGGGTGTATCCATAGTAACGGGTTGGTTTAACAACAACAACAAATGCAAGTTACGCAAGGATAGCATAAGCAAGTCACTATTTTTTGCTCAACTCAATGAACAGGCATATTTACAAACATATATGAGATTGAAAGCCGCGTCTCTTTAAAAGCTCCTTGCCACTCTAAGACGCGCTTCATGTTTGTTCACATCGCACCGTCCACAAAACAGCTTGGATTAGCGTGTACTGAATGCGCTCTTACAACTAAATGACTAGATGAACATGCACAATTAGAATATATGACGTCATAAATGTAATTCTCCGGACAAATAAAGCCAAGTATAATCGTATAACCTACCCGTTTACGGACTTCTTTTGGGACTATATTCCCACTGGCACTAGCAGTGAAGAACACCTGAGTGGAAGTGTCACAATTGCAGTCACATTTACGAACATAAATATTAAACGCGTGATTCAAACACGCAAGATATGTAGAACATTCAGAACCATTTCTACGCAATATAAACTGTAACACAAAGTCCAAAAATTTAGTACCCTACAATAAATATACTTATTCATCAATTGATGGGAAAAAAGGTCATAACGATGATATACAGCGCAATTTTAAAAATGGAAATACTGATTTGCAGTGGATAAGTCGTATGTTATAAGTAGTAATTCACTCTTAGGACGACAAGAGGATCTTACATTTGGCAAAATACACAAAACTCTTGTAACACAAAAAGTGTATTGTACCTGAAGTTTTCAAAGAGTCCAAAAAAAAACTCATTTGGAATTACATCAAGCGAAACTAAATTAGACTCAGTTGAAAAAGTTGTTGGTTCATTGTCCAGTTAGAAAGACTTTGAAGAGTAGACCTGAAGCTGATATCACGCAGTAAATTCACCGACGACGGTCACCGTACGCCAATCACTCGGGGCTTTACCCCTCGTCTTAATAATCTACTCGTATACAAAACTTTACCGTACTTGCATTATCATAAATACAATTGTTTTTTAGTAAAATGTTAAAGTGGCATAGCAACAGTACAGGTCTAAACTAAACGTTTTATTCCATAGTTCAAAGGATGCTCGTTTGCAAGGCGTTTTTGCATTGACCTTTTCAGACAGACCTGTAATTACAATAGCTGTAAGTATTCGATATACCAATTATCGTAGTATAATGGCTACCATCCACTAATATGGTGTTGATTGCGTATTACTTGTGAAACTTTGTAGTATTGTATTTCTACAATTCAGGACTCCGATCCTGTACTGGTATAAGGCAACTGTATTAATGAATACAACTAAATAAATCTATACACGTGGGATATTTTATGTAGAATATACTGCATTATGTTCAATACAGTGCATTTTTATTTATTGAAACAATTTGTTTCCAATCACATCGATATTATTCAAATGTTTACAGCGTTGTACATTTGATTTAATTGTACAAGAGGTGGTGGTCGTGATCATAATATTGATATTGAAAATATCAATCAGTTCATTTTGGTTATCATTGGGGCATCAATTCTTAACGACTTAATACTAATATTGTGAAAATATATTACTATGACAAAATAATTACGATGATCAGTTGGACGTCACATGACTTTCTATTTTTAAATAAAATAATCGATATTTATACTTATTGATTATATATTAAGCACACAGTCTAACTGTAACATCTGCGTAAAATCCCAACTAAATACACAAATGAAATCAATGTTACCATGTTTGAATTTGCAGTTTATATACGTTGACACGTGTAAAGGCATTTGACCACATTCCTCGGCACCTAATAGTCGTAACATGCATGATCGACTTATTCAGGAAGGTTCACATTTGAAAACAATTGGACAAGGTGATTCTCACGTGGGTTCTACACGGTGTCGGTTATACGTCTTGATATCGGAAACATATGAGAAGATGTATCGCTATTACAGAGATATTCGATGGCAGGCTATCCTGGACAACATCAAGATTTTCGTGAGTGTGAATGACAAATCTACTGATCGATTGAAAGGACGTAATACTAATATTCGTCCTGTGTACATAATGATGGTACTAGTTTTAGGCATTGTGTTATTTATGATATTAACTCGCTCGCACCTCGCCAGTTCGGAAATATCTTCAATGTCCACAGGAACCCTGGGAAAATTGGTTAAGTTCCCTCACTGCCAATTCACAGCAGGTGCAAAACGATGCATTCCGGACGTTATCATCATCGGTGCCATCAAATGCGGGGCACAGGCTCTCTTGGAGTTTCTAGACGTCCACCCGCAGATCGCTGCTGTGAGACTGGAAACGCATTTCTTTGATAAAGGTTTCGACAAAGGCTATAACTGGTACTTGAACTTGATGCCAATATCTTCCTCAAAAGATAAACGAACGATTGAGAAGACGTCCACCTATTATTTGTCGGAAGAAAACCCAATAAGAATACATGCATCTCTGTCTGAACACTGCAAGCTGATATTTGTAGTTTGTGACCCCATACAACGCGCACTGTCTCACTATGCTTATATGTTTAATTTCTATCGCAAGTCTGGTACCCTTGCTAAGATCATTGAAGACAACAGATATGATGGAATATTGAAAACATTTGGCAGCACGGTTTTAAATTTAGACCAACAATCAGTGAATGAGACTAGGCTGATAGTGAAAGCTGGAATGTATGCCCCAGTATTACACAAATGGTTAGACCAGTTTGATAAAAAACAAATTCTAATTGTTGATGGAAACACATTGGCCTCCAGTCCTGCCAAAGAATTGCAGTTGGTGGAGAATTTTATAGCTCTCAAACCGTTTTTCCGAGATGACAATTTCCAACTCAACCAGGCGAATAATTTATCGTGTATGGTGAAACCAGTTGAGCATTGCGTGACATTGCCATCGATTGCACCAACTGATATGCATGTCCCGGATGTAGAATATGAGGTTATACAAATGTTAAAATCATTTTATATGCCATTTAACAAAGAACTCCAAGAATTTTGCGGACGTCTGTTCTCATGGGCTTAGCTTTTACGAATTATTTATTTATTTCATCAACGTTCATGTCTTTGGCATTTATCTGTATTTTGTTCTATTATATGGTATGACTGCTGAACAAGTCGAAAACGGAGTTATGTTCAATATGAATCGGGAGATAATCATCGAAGAACGCAACTCTGTGTCAAATGTGGTGAAGTGTTTTATATTACACAGGCGTACATTTTGGATTCGTGTGATTGTTTGAATGGAGAGTTATGCCAGAGTGCAAAAAATGTACAGCGGTAAATGTTGTCAACTTAGATGGGAATTGGTTGATATTTTACATTACTGCTATTTTCTTAATTCTGCTAAAGAATGTATTGAAATATATATAACGTTGTCATATAGGAGCTATGGGAGACGTTTTTCATTTGTTTTGTTGTACGAAATAAAACACTTTATCCCTTAACAAAGTCGGAATAATTTGTGTAACAGATCTAAAACAAAACGGGTGATTTCTTGAGTCTTGAATAAAACGTTGGTTTGTCACGGTGAAAGTAGTGGGATTTTTATTTTGGTTTATTCACTAAATTATTACACTTAACTCATTTATCTAATCCGACCACATGATAATAATTTAGTCGTGTCATATATAGTTACAGATTAAAGGCTTGGTAAAATCTTTTGTTTTCAACTTCAGCAATTTGTGTTAATCAAATAAAGAGTAAACTGCATTTTACATTCTAAATAAAACATTAACTGTGCGCGATTGTTCGCCTACAATTACCACGTGACTACCCGATATATATCATTCCTCCACATAAACTCTTGTAATTATTAAAGGTTGTTCGTTTCTTGTATCAGAGATAACGCGCGGTGTACCAAGAAGCAGTGACGCAATATTATAAAATAATAATAGTTTTGTTTCAGGTAATACATACATGCATTATCTCTGTTATTAGCCGCGCATGTTTATCACATGTGTAACTGCTTCAGCAAGAAATCGCCGAGTAGACTACGATGGGCTTGAAAGGTAGCAGTCGAAACCAGTGTGAGCGGCGGAAAGCCCAGTGTGGGCACGAGAAGCGTTGTTGTGGAATACGCAGATATTTGGTATGGGGTATGCTGTGAAACTATTTGTTTTGCCTACCTCAAGATTATATATTCTGATCATTTGCTAATTATTGAGCTTGGGCTCTGTAACCTTAGATTTGAGTAAAGCTGTGAAGTGAACATTTGAGAATAATGTAAACAAAGTGGTAATATCATCGACTATGACTGAAAACTAGTAAAATATCACATAATCGGCATAGTTTCGTTCATTGTCAATGTGGATAATGATAGTCGATAGTGACCAAAACTTAATAACGGATTTATTTCTAGATTCAGGGGCTTGTGCTCGGTTTGCTTTTGTTATTTGTTGTTCCCGGGATATCACACTTTACGTCGCAGCTATTATAATTATATTGCCCATCATACATTTGCAATGGAAGTAAAATAACCCCATTTACATCAAGTTTGAAAGGGGGGTCAAGTGAAGACATCAACCTAGAATGGAATCGTCGTTGTTCTACCCAACGCATACCAGATATCAATGTATTTGGTCATCCGGAAACACAGTCCGACTACGTTATCAGTTCAGTATCGGGTCATCAGCTGTCCTTGATTTGAGTGTGTTTGTCTATATGTGTACTATTTGAAACGACATCTCTGTTGATCTCTCTGGGTTGCAGTGACGTGAGTCACACACTCTGCCTACTCGCACATCATGACTCGCGTAGTTGTAAGTCTGATATTATTATCCTCTATTTCTACATTGGTCAACTCTGACACGGTCACAGTCGAGAGCAAATCAGGCCGAATCGTGGGTGACGAAGTCCATTTTAGTCATAAAGATGTAGATATCAAAAATACGGTCAACGTATTTAAGGGGATCCCTTACGCCGTGCCGCCCGTTGGTAAGCTGAGATTCAAACCACCCCTACCGGTGATACCGTGGACTGGTGATTACAATGCCACGTACCTACGACCCGCATGTATACAAGCGGAGAGCACCATGATACCACTGAATGAGCCAACAGATGAAGACTGTTTACATCTCAATATATACGCACCCAAATCAGTAAGTCAATGTGAAGTATTTAAGTATGTATTTATGCCCTCAACTTTTGAATAATTTGAATAACATTAATGTAGCTGGTTGATAAATGTGAAATCTTGGGTTATGCCATGTCTCCTATGAATGTATATCGCTGGTCTTTGCTTGTCGTTAGTGTTTTTATCAGTTCAGAGGTCAGAACTGATAGTTCTGTGCCCCCTGTCTGACGACCTGTCTATACTATATACTATATACTATTCAGATGTAAAACCAGTAAACATAAGAGTATGATAAGGCTTATGTATATTGTTATCAATTGTCCTTACAATGTTAGGTGATTAGCTGAGATCGCTTGTGTGTAATGTAACTAACACTCCCCATTCCCGAAGCTGGCGGAACTGAAATGATGGATCATGTATTGCGTTTCAGAAATAAAGAAACTATGGTGCAAATGAACCCATTTGGTGCTATAAACTATTTAACTCAGTCAGGTAGTGGTATGAGACCACAACTACTTCTGATTATTATTGTTTCAACGTCTCTTTATGAAAGCACCATTTTCTTCTATCTCACGATATACTCCAATCCTTTCGATATGTTTTGTGATTTCAAGCAACTTCAAAGTGTCTTTGTTTACAAATGTAACATAGTGTCAATTCATAATTTACATTACTTATGTATCTGTGTTACAACACCTTGAAATGAGCTAATATACAGACAATTACATCATAGCCAATGTCTGTGTGTCTCCAGGCAAATAAGGCAGCCGTTATGGTATGGATTCATGGTGGTGGGTTCGTTCTTGGTTCCGGATCAAATGTCTACTACGACGGCTTTCCATTGGCTGCCATTAATGACGTAATTGTGGTGGGTATTAACTACCGATTAGGTGTACTGGGTTTTCTCAGCACTGGTGAGTAACGTGAGCGCATAGTAGTATATAGTATATTTATATTATACACTGTATACATCATATGCATCTGATTTTACACTGTGTTCAATAATAAGGAAAGCTAATACAGTTACATTCATCTGACTAATATTTATTTAGGTGATGACGTAATTTCTGGTAATTATGGTTTAATGGATCAATTAGAGGCTTTGAAGTGGATTAAAGCTAATATAGAATGTGAGTTGTATGCTATTATTTTGCAATTACATTTTAAAGTAAATTTTCAATTTCTCAAAACATTGGCTATGATGTCACACTTTACCTACAATTCACTGCTGGAGAAAAAAGCTGGTGGACTATTTAATGCTGATGTAAATTGCATTCCTCAAAGTTAAAGATTCAAACTCGTTTAGTACTTTAAAACAGATCAAAGAAAAAACGACATGTTCGACAGTAATCCGTTTTTCAAAGTTTCGGTTAGTTTCGTGATTTTCATTACTGATGCAGTTGCACATTTGATAAAGCGATCATACGCAGATAATAACAGAGATAACTTTGGGTATTTCTCGGAGAAATATTGATAATTTTATATTGCATGCGTCAAGAATCACCTACAACTATTATGACTGATGTATTTTTTTTCAAACAATGTAATGCTTCAATCGAATTAGTATAGCAAGACATCGTTCTTTTTTATATTGTAGACTTTGGAGGGGATCCTGACAGAATAACCATATTTGGAGAGAGTGCAGGGTCTATTAGTGTTAATTTGCATATATTTTCACCTATGAGCAAAGGTTTATTTAAAAGAGCAATAATGCAGGTGAGCAACACTGAACTACACTGTACTGCAGTACACTACACTATACGACACAACACTACAATGCACTGCAGTGCACTACACGACACAAAACTACACTACACTGCAATACACTACACGACACAACACTACACTACACTGCAATACACTACACTGCAATACACTACACGACACAACACGACAGTATAATAGAATAGAATAGAATAGAATAGAATAGAATAGAATAGAATAGAATACCATGGTACACGTGTCTTTTTAAAAATGGCTATTTTTAATTTCAAAACTCCGCCTCTGTCCACTATGTAAACTAATGCGCATATTTCCAGTCTCATTAATTTCCTAAAACAACAACAGCTGATGTAAACGTCGTTTGAAAGTATTACAATTACAAAGATGCATAAAGTGCTAGCGATAAACAAAACTTAAGTAATGATTGCAAACCTAAAGCTTTTTGTAATTACGGAGTTCACTTGGCATATAAACATCGTTAGGCAAAGCTTACACTAAATAAAACTAATTAGAGATATTGTCAATGTATAAGCTGCCATTTTAAAAACCTGTTTTAATGTGTCATTGTCCGTTTCGACCAAAAACTAAAGACAAGTGGAATGGTTGGCGCACATATTAATAGTTCATTCAAAACATCCTAACTGGCACGCCATAGTGCTACAGTCCTGGGTTGGATTAGCATGCTATTTTCGGCAGCTAGCTGCTGCCATTATGCACTGATCTGTAGTTAATGACATGGGTCGGACTAACATACTAATTGGGGATGCCATCCGACATCCATTTATACCCAACAACCTCATTTGACTTAAATCATTGTTTTCATTACATGTTATATATCAGTAAACTTATCGTCTTTCATATCCGTTCAGAGTGGTGTCTCAGCGGCAGCCTTCACATACAATAATGATAAAGAAATGATTACTAAGCTAGCACATGGTGTAGGAGAACTTGTTGGTTGCAAGAGCGACACGTCAGATGCCCTACTACAGTGCCTCCGTGACGTCACACCAGCTGATCGATTTCTTGATGTCCAGGACCTGACTACGGTAATTATTCAGATAATTGTCGTGTCATTTTTTGCATCAAGTTCCGAATAGCATACTAACCTTGTGCAACAGTTCGGATATTGAACCAAACGAGGTCGCTAGACCAAGTGGGGGGGGGGGGGGTCAACTCTTTCAACGATTACCATATAGAGTTGGTACTGATAATCACGTTCCACTAGATTTGTCGGTGTCAGACAACCATTGACATATTCCACGCTCAATGTGAAGATAGTGTACCTTGCAATAAGTTGTTCATTAAAATTAAACAAATACACACTACTTTTAATTTTGATTGTAAATGCAACAGCCAAACTATATGTTTTACAAGCGAGGTGGGATCGTGTTGATTTCGCTACTATTCTCAGACTGCTTACAATACCTCATAACAAACTATGTTCATTATTTAATCAGGGTCGACTGGAAAAGGTTACTGGTTTAAAAGGTCTATATTTTCCATTTCTACCGTGCATAGATGGGCATTTCGTCACTGATGACCCAGTCGAAATGATAAACGATGAAAGAATCATTGCAATAGATGCCATGATGGGATCGATGGCTAATGAAAACATCGTGTCTCTTTTAGCCGTCTATCCCGAAGCGTCGAATTGGAGCTCAGTAACTATGAATCGACATGAATTTGAGAAACACCTTCCTACATTCTCTCCAGTTTCACTGTTGGCGAAAGGACCTTTGGTCGTTGAAGCAGTCAAACTTCTCTACACAGACTGGTACACCATCGACACACCGAAAGAAAATTACACCAGCGCATTTGTTAGCATATTCTCAGACGAGGCAATCGTTTGTCCAACTAATACACTGGCCCACGCAATGTCTAAATCTGGATCGAACGTATACCTTTACCAAATGTCTTATAGTGCTTCAAGGTCGATGTGGGGGTTTGACTGGACTAAGGCAGCACATGGGGACGATTTACAATTTGTATTTGGGTGGCACTTCCGCTCTCAAAATGATTGGCAGATGAGCCCAGAAGATGTCGACGTGTCATTACAGATGATGAAGTACTGGACAAATTTTGCGAAGACCGGGTAGGACACCAACTTTTTACCCCCTCTAGTGAATGATTACACAAGTAATGGATAATTCAGTACGTTTTTTTATTATCGTACTGTGTTATCTAAGTATTTTATCATGGCACTATTTTGCTTTTCAGTGATCCAAACCAGGCGAACGAATATGTGACATTGATGTATTCACCTGAAGATTTTCGTTCACACTGGCCTACATTTAATACAAACGACGCCGAGTACAAAGACATCACTCTTGAGATGAATATTAACAGAAGCGCCCTCAAAGCCCAGGAATGCGCTTTCTGGACTAAGTATGTGCCTAAACTTGTCGAGTATATCAGAGGTAAGCATAACTGCATTAATTTGCAATCCCGTCAGGTGTCGGATACGGTAATTTTGTTTCCTACTGTGGGAAAAAAAATCTTGTTCTGGAGGTTAATTGAAATGGGTGAATCATAATATCAAAAAGAATAAAATGAACTAATCTAATTAAAGTTGAAATAAAACACACAACCGTAGATTATTGAACAAAAGTGTTATAAGGAAACATAAAATGCAATCCATAAATACAAAACAAAACTTAGAAGTATACCATACATAATATGTTTAGTAAGAAAAATATGTATGGTAATACTAGATTACCATAGAAATGTTTCTCTGGCGTCTTGTATAACACAATGCAAGCAGATAATCTGATCTATTAATAATATTAACATATATGCTAATAACTGAAATATCAACTGAAATGTGTATCTTCCTTTCATTTCATTCGACTTATTTCTTAAAACACGCCATAACCTTACCAAAAGTACATTTTTCTAGCAAAAACACTGTTTTACTACCTCAGCTGGATATATCACTGGAATATATCCACTAAATTTAGGATGGATTTTTAATTTTTATTTAGAAATTCAGCATCATACAAATATATATAAATACCCCAGCCAGCAATTGAGCACACATTTCAGATACGTGTATGCTTCAGACTCGACAAATATATTGACAATGACAGACCTTATTTTTATGTTATCTAAATCCAAGGAACTATATATAAGTCTAAAATATAATGTTTCCCTCGTATCTTAATTTATATCAACAGCACTCATTCATTTTACACTGCATAGTATGCTGGTAGGAAAGTATGGAGTAACATTATCCACTTACTTACTTTGACACTAAACTGAACGAAGACATGCCTTATGTAGTTCAGTAAGAAAATGTCCTCAAATCGATGTAATATATATTTATCCTTTTCAGAAAATCCCGATTGCAAAGATGCCGAAGTCGACGCAAAAACGAAGTATACAAAGATGGAAAATATACCTTAACAAAGGGCTTAATTGGTGGATCTTTAATTTTTTGAAAAAAAAATACAATGACGCTACAAATATGTGTAAATCAAACGTTCGTCTATTAAACTTCCTTTAAAAATAATAACTGCTTACCACGTACAGTTACATGGTTTATATCAATTGCAATGGAGTACTGTCAGCACACTACCATTTAACATACGAACCACTAAGGTTACTCGGATACAATATGATGGTTTCATGAATTATGTGTGAACAGTTTTTCAATTTGAAGTATGTTGATTAAATAAGGTGATATTCATGTAATAATCGATTAATACTAATTCAGGCCTGTCAATTGTTTGCCGGTAAGAAGCAAGCGTCGACACAAGAGCCATTCACCGAAGCAGGGTCGTGTTCTGATCCTAACTGAGGTCAAAACTTACAAATAATTGGGCCTAGCTTATGTGAGTTTGCGTAACGCCGGCTAAAGGGGAGGCAATAGTCAAATTAATTCACCTAATATAAATGCGACTTTAGGAAACATTGTGTAAGGTTCGATTCTGTTGGTGCGATTCTGGTTGAAACCAGAATAGCGAATTAAATTACCATGTGATAGAGCAACTATCGCATTCATTCCCAAACATGAATAAGGTTTCTGTGTTCACATTTTTAGCAATAAAACAAGAGTCGGGAAAGATAAGTGACACATTGTCAACTAGGTCAATGTATGTATAAGGCTTCCAGTTACTTTTGTTTGTTATTTTGGGTACTTGCCTTAAAATTTGAATAATGGCTTTATATATCTACATCGGATTGTAATCCGATTGAACAACACTGGTCTGCAACATACACATTGCTGTAATGAACGGTGGCATCTAACATCTTGTTCCCATGAATGAGTTTCAAGATAGTTTGTCTAATTTTCTCAAGACTTTCAAGTTGTTCTTTGCAACCTCGACAACGGCGTGACAAGTTCTCCATTGCAATAGTGGTTGAAACGGGACACATTTGAATCAATTAGGTAACGTTGAAAAGTTTCATTTCTATAACATATTGACAACAAATTTCATTTCTGGTACCCAAAGAGATCTCATAGCATATTTGCAAAAGTATTTATCCCCCAAAACGGAAATATAATGTGCAAAATATGCTACAAAGGTGGTTGAAAACAAACCCTATTGAATAGATTAGATAACATAACATTTACTAACTAACTGACAGAGGATTTTTATTCAAAGACAGCATTTCCACTACACTACTGGAAAACACCACTACACAACTGGAAAATATTCTTGTCCAGATTTAACCAAAATCTCGCCACAAATGCCTAAAATTCGGCGAGGGTAACAGTTCATGGTTGTCAATCATTCGAATGTGCATTTGACTTGCACAACAATACAACTGATGCATTTCACTGAGGAAGCTATCACATGACCACAAAACATTCACTATCTCCAAGATTCTTCTATTGGCTAATCAAGCCTACTTCTCAAATCTGTATTAAAAAGACAAAGATAGTAGTATTTGATCAAAAATGCTGTGAACATATCTCTTGAACCACATTAAGTAAAATAAATTGTCAACCATTTTGAATCTGATCTGTTGAACAAAATGACATGTACAAAGAAAGGCCAAATGTTCATTTCTTCGATAGCCAATCATTCATGACTGAGAATTGTAGGAAAGGTTGATGTACTAAAATGACCAACAGTCATCTAACTAGAATTAGATCATCAAGAAATGATATATAAAATGAATATATGTGACGTTAAGGCACGTCTGAGCCCGAGTCTTCATAATCACACAAACTTTGGTTGAACACTCAAATTTACTGCATCAACTATAGGATAAGGTATTCCCAAAGTGACCCAAATATGACCATACACCCATCACATGCACCACAACACAAAATAAATGATTACAATAACGGTTAGCTTGTTTAGAGACAATATATTTATTTAAATTTCATTTCGGACAAATTGGTCCATGATTTTTTTTACATGTTTGACATTACATGCTTTTTTTACTTATTTGAATATATCGATCTTGTTGATGTCAGACTTTGAAAAAAATCAACAGCGGTAGAAAGTTTCTGCACGGATGTCATGTTGAATTAAAAACATATCCTGTTGTTGGTTTAATTAGCAAATAGATATTGTGTCATGATAAATCAGTCTTCATGAACTATTTACAACAGAAAGTTATAATACATAATAATAATAATTTTGTACAAGTAGTTATTCAAATACAATTCTTTTTACTCTCATTGTTTGTACCTAGGTACAATTTTTTTAATTAAATCATATGCCACAAAAATGCAATCTGAAATGACATGCATTTCTTGCCTCATCAGATTTTATAAATAACTTCCAGAATACACTAACCTAGAGATCACAAGATAAAGTAATTGGTGGTGGCGGCCTTCTTGACATCAGAAAGAGGCTAGTATGTTCTTTAGAGGCCATTTTGATTTCACAATGAAGCTCTAAGCTTGGTAGCCATTTCGATATCAGAATGAGGCTACCTGGTCATGGCAATCATTTTAATATGCGAAAAAGACGTTGTATTGGTGGATTTCATAGCAGAGTGAGGGGACAATCACAGGTCATTTTGATATCATAATCATGATCAATTGAGCTTGTGGGCCCCAATACCCATTTTCATAACAGAATAAAGCTTAAAAGCATTTTGATGAATCAAGTTATGAAAAGAATATAAACTAAAAATGCAGAAAGGGAGATCTGCCGAGCAATTATCAGTTTCAGACAGATTGACATTACTCAAGTACCTTAGCTACAGTATGATGCAGAATATTCATTAATTAAAAATTAAACATACTAATATGGGTGAAAATTATCAGAAGGTAAGCACACATACAAAATAATTTAAAATGTTAGAAATGACAATGTAGTTCTCCTTCAATTTTCTCAGTATAAATTAAAAATATAATAAATGTGCAGCCATACTTACATATCAGGAAACCATTCAATTGCAGAAAGTGACAGCAATCTCGAGATTTGTTGCAGTAATAAGAATTCTGGATTGTTCAAAATGAATTTAATTCAGTGATTGGCTTTGTTAATGTAAAAAAATGAGCCGATGATAAAGAGATTCACTCACCATGTATAGTTGTATTGAATTAACTTTCACAAGGAAAGAAACACGATGAGTCTACTAAAACATGCTGTTATTACATGTTGAACAAAGTGGATTATTTTTTCATTATTTCATTGAATACTTGTATTAATAATCAATTCAACAATTATGGTGTTATCTTTAAGCTGTAGACCAAAAGTTCATGCATTGCTACACTACACAGTTACGAAGTTGTTGTTGGTTCCCACAAATAAAAATGGATGATCTGGAGAGTTGTACATTACATCTCCATCCAGTTTTAACAGTGAGAAATGCTTCAAGCATTTCGATCAAGGTAGGAAATGTCTGACCTAAATATTTTGTGAATGGTGTGGATTTTACATTTGGTTTCAGTCACATTTTTGATGTCAAGATGCACCAGCTTTGGTCACAATTATTCCATATAAATGTAATTGTTCTACCAGTACATACTGCTTGATGTTGTCAAGCAAAAAATGATCATGGCTGCAGATCCATCTAATGAAAACATGCACACTGCATTCATAAAAAGCACCAGGCTCCAAAATACATTAACAGTGTATTTTGGGAATTTCATAATTGTCACAATATTGTCCATGTGTTCAAAGAATTGTTTCATTTTCCATTTTGGCCATCTCAGCTTCCGTTATTTGCAATATTGCTCTGGCGTCAGCATACATCTGTAAAAACAATTGTTTCCTGAGTGTCAAGATCAATAAACATTCTGATGAATTATTTGAATTAACAAAAGTTCGAATGACCAAATTGAAATGGCTATAATTTCTATGCACACATATAACTATAATTAGTCAGCTGAAAAATAAGGTATTTTTAAAGCTTTATAAATTACAGATATTCTAGAAAATTAGTTTTGCGCAATAATACACAGATTATTAATAATAATATAATGGATAGTTTTCAAGGGACATCATTCAAATCTTTTTTCAGCAAAACAACTTTAAAAAGTTCATTAGCGATTCTGAAATTTGTTTTAGAATATGTTAACTGTGGAAGATACTGTCCCTGTGTATCCTAATAAGACATAACAAAAAATGTCACATGCGACTGAGATGACATATCTTCGTAAAATGACAGGTATGATGCAACAAGAGGAATAGCTTGGAATTTATTTATCAGATACATTGTACATTACCTCACTAAATACCATATCTTGAAAAAGTTCTTGTACGAATCTCCGAGCACCTAGTCTAAACGAGTAGTTGCCCAGTATATCAGCAATGTCTGAATACAAACATACATCCTGAAAGGCATTTGGAAAACGCTCCTTCAAACTGAAATCAAACATGATAATGATATTAATAAGACATATAGAGTAAAGCATAGTCAAGTTAATTTATAGTTTTAAAATTAGGTAACATTTGCTATAAAATGGAATTAAGTGGTAACATGTGCTATAAAATGGCATAACGGGTCATTCTGTACTATAAAATGGCAGAAAGCAGCGTAATACTGGTAGAAGACAGAAAATTAATCAGAAGGTGTGCAATATATGGAGATCAAACATCATCACAGAAATAGTACAATAAGACTTTTTACAAGTCAGGATCTGTAGTACTAGAAAAGACATGGGCAAATAAAAAGGGAGGGATGGCTGTTAATAAATTGATAAAAGTAACAAACCTGAGAAGTCCTTGCTCCTGGGCTTTCATTGCCACTGAACTACTCAGATTAACAACTAGTCTCACAATCTCCTTCTTTATTAAAGATCTTCCGAGTGGACTGTCTTCTGTCAGCTTCTTGAACGCTGGTGTTGAATCATCACTACTTGCACTAGACGGGGTCATGTCGCTACTGCAAGGTGATTTCGTGAGAGACAACGATTTGACTAACGAGGACTGTGGTGTCGTTCCTGAGCTAGGTTCTGCATAATGTTCTGCTGAAGATGGTAAAACGCTATCATCAGCCTCACTTAATGCTCGCAGACGTCCAATATCTGAACAAGAAAAATAATTATTAAAAATAAGAAAAAGATAAAAAATTACATTTTGGTGTACTGAATAATGATAAAAGGTTGAAAAAATTTAATAAATTAATTAAATAATTTATTCAATATTTCATTAAATACTGTAAAATACTTTATTTTTGCTTGGAATTAATTTTTGCTATTTTCACTGAAGGAATGATTCAGTGAAAATAAAATCAAGCGAATATACTTCTCAAAAATCAGTGAAAATAAATTCCACACAAAACACACAGGAATTATTTCCAGCTAAAATGAAGTGTTCTATAGTAATACATAGCACACATAATGGATGAGGTATGTATTAAGGCCAATTAATATCTTGTATGCATTTTCGTAAGATATTCTAAGCAAAGTGCATATCAAATTGTATGAATATTTAATAAAACACAAACTGATCATTTTCACGACTTCTATGAAGTGTGCAATTTTTGATAAGGAATTAACTATTGGCTAAGTATACAGGTAGCAAATAACTAAAAGTCCAAAGAAACAATTTTTTTTGCATATCTAAACTAGTTTGCTGAATTATGTGTAACTGTTTTTTGTATTACGTATTTTGACAAATGTTCCATTCAAATGGGCACTAGAGTTGAGCTCAACAATATGGGAAAATCAATCTAGCCATAAAAATAAGTTTGTGCATCCATTCTTTTCTTTTCATTTTTACCACTTACTTAATGGAACATTGCAATCAGTAAAATTTTGAAAATTAGTGGTAGTATACATGTATCAGCATAGATAAATTGCAAAATGAATTGTCAGTTAGTACCTGCTGTGTATTCTTCTATCGTCACGGCAAAGCTCTTGATCCTGACCTTTGTACACAGTAAGCATTTGTCAATGGCATGAGCTTCAAAACCGCTTTCCATCCGTGAGATTTTTCGCTCTCTGACCTGTTGACGTAAAGTTTCTGCTGCTTGTGTGAGACTAAATTGTGGTGCCATTGATGTAGTTGTGGAAACTTGAGCATCAACAGATGTCAGGCATTTTTCTGATACAGGGGATAATACAGAGAGTGGTCCTCCATGTCGATGGATTCCTGATGAAGTGATTTTGCTTGGTGGATCATCAACCTATAACACATAAAGTTGAACTGAAGTCTTCAATTTAAAAATCAATGTCATCAAAAAAACTCATATACAGCTTATAATGGATCCTAAAAAAAAGTTCTTTGAAGTCAAGCTGTAGAAAAACAGCTCTCATTTTATGTTAGCTGTGAGTTCAGAGCTATTGTTGTGTTGGTTTTTAGTTTTTATGATAGTATTTTAGTCATTTCTGGTCCTTAAAGTTATTATTTTCAGTTATTGTGATTTTATCCACACAGAAGATCTATGGTTCTTCACATAGATGGTTACCGCAGGATTTATGTTCGAGGGGAGAAAAAACATCAAACCAATCATTTTTTTGTCAGTTTTTGCTCTGGTGACATTATCAATTAGTGACAGTATTGATGGTGTGATGTGATAAAAATGGTGTTACGATACTTTTTTCAAATTTAATTTGCGATACCACACATGTTTGCATTACGCAAATCAATATGAAAAACTATTATTATAGCAATTTTGTGCTAATAAATTTCTAACACAACAACTTTAAGTAACCAAATGTATCAGAAATTACTAAAATACCATAACACAGACTAAAGACCAACACAAGTAGAGCTATGGATCTACATCTAATTATGTTCAAGTTAATTCTTTTTTCATGGACTTCTAGGTGACTATGATTACAATGTATAAAATTATATTACTAGGCATGCTACAGCAAGAAATTGTAAATTGTGTTTGTGGGAAACTAACTAACTAACAACCCATGACTTGACATGGGGCTTTAAATTCAGTAAAAGGGATTTTTATGATTGTAATGGTTAGATGCTATAGGTTTTACACTAAAAAATAACTAGTCTCCAGGGAGGTTTAGATATCCTCAATGTTATCAACTCAATGTTTTTGCCACTGAGTTAATAAGAATCTAATCATCTGAACGTAATCCATAGCTCAATTGGTTAGACTCCTCATGGTATTACATTCATTGATAATATCAAGCCTCCTGACTAGAAACACGTCAGCTGGTCAACTTTTGTTGAGTGACACAGTTCTAGTAACTTCTCATTACTGTGGCAAGAAATTAATACCATACACATAACTGTAAGAAAACACTGTGACAATTAAAGCTCAAACCTCCAAAGACTGCATAACCCGCCCTGCTAGACACATACCTGAAATATCATATTGACATCTACTGGTAGACATAACCCTACATAATCACCCCCACCACCACTGGTTGAGTGAGGTTTCTGAGTCAATGACCGGGACTTCTTAGTACTGTCTACGCTTTCCAAAGATGTTGTGCTACCTTCCCTGATAAAAGAAACAAACATAACTTGGTTACATGCAATACCCCACATATTTATATTACCCAAAAACTTTCATTACATGTATTCACTGACTTATTTGTCATACTGTATTGGTAGCCATAGAAACAGACATACAAGCCATACAATATAACATGGCTACCCCTTCATTTATTCAAGTTTAACACATCAGGATTTCTATACTGTCCACCATCTGAGTATTTCTGTCGTATTCTTTGAGCTTCATATTGATCTTTTTGCCATTGTACTATAATACAATTATTACAATTTTAGCATCCAATCAATACTCTAAACAGAGAACAAAAATTGCATATCATAACCATATTATTTGCATATACAATGAGTCTCCTAAACAATTTGGCAATGGTGAGTTTCAGTATTTATTTATCTTATCACTTTTTACCAAAAATGACAAAAATTAGATAAGTGAAGATATCATCACAATATGAACAAATCTGAGAGAGGTCTACCTGAGGTACCTATATGTATAGTATCAAAGCAATCAGACTTGCGGTTTTTAACAAAAAGTCAAAAATATCACTTTTCACCAAAAATAACAAAAAATATTCACCAAAATTAGAGAATTAAAGGAAACATCATGAAATGAACAAATCTAAGAGAACCCAGGGTACATATACACCAAGTATCAAAGCATTCAGGCTTGTAGTTTTCAAGTTGAAAAAGTAACAAGTTGACTTAAAGGATGACAGAAAATCACTCATACGATAAGCTCCGCTCGACAATAAAAACAAAAGAGCTAAAAAGCTACATGTACCAGTAGTCAATTCAAACTTACCCCAATGAAGCTAATCTTCCGGTGTATGTATTGCTTCTACCAAATCCCGCTTTCGGTGGACTGCACAGAGGAAAACCAGACCAGGATATGACGTCAACATTATCACTCATTGACTCAGCTCGAATTTTTTTCAAATTCTTAAGAGCCGCATATCCTTGCGCATCCCGCGTTGTTGTATACACTGCGTTAGCTTCAACAATGGTACTTTTATTAGTATTAAGGTGAACGCCTGGTGGGAGAGTGAATGATTTCCCACCAGGGGGACTCAAACTTGTAATGGGGCTTGAAAAACGTCTCGTAAAACTGGGCGTTCGTTTCAAGTTCACCTGCTTCCTTGCAAAGTCTGAGGAATGAACAGTTTTAAAAGTTTGCAAACTACTTATTGTACTAACACTAGAGTTGCTTTCGGTTGTTAGTTCAAATGATGGGTTTGACTGAATAGAGTTTAACGAACTAATGCCACTCGTCACTGTCTCAGTGAAACTTTCACTACGACTCTTCGTATCGGTGCTGCCTCGTCCACTGCTTTCGTTGCTATTGCTACGATATTTGAAGCTTTGACTTCGCTGTTTAGGCAGAGTATTGCACTTGAAGTCAACACTACTACTACTACGCAATTTTCCAGACATTTCCTCTGATACCATTTGAGTCCTACTGTCACTATTGCTGCGCAATTTGACTTCCCGAGTCGGGCTTCCATGCATACTAGTACTTCGAAGAATCGGAGATGTTACATTGCGTTTCAATTTCCCTGCAGATTTAGATAGTTCTGAATCTCGCGGGATATCACGTTCCTTTGACATGGCTATGTACTTTCGTAACGCAGCATTATTTGTGCTTCTATTACGGTTATCTACATCAACTTGATAGAACGGGAAACCTAATTTATCCCTTATTGGTGATGTAGTACTCCCACCTGGAGATTTATCTGCTCCTTTCACTAAGTGATGCTCCCCATGTTCATTGATGTCAAGAAAGAATGTACTACTAGGACTGCCATCTGAAGTCCTATCACCACTCCCCAAAAAAGGCACAGCATCCGAGTAATGAGGGCTTTCAATGTTGCTATGGATACTAGACATAGAAGGATAATCAGGGAGGAAACTTCCTCCTTTATCCAATAAATCATCGTCTTCTTCCACAACTGGCCAGATATCTTTACGACTATGCCGGACACTTTCCCATCCCAAAGATCGTAACAGATCGGCTCCATTCTTTGTCTTGGCTATCATACCAAGCACATAGAAACATGTCCTAAAATGAAAAAAAATGAAAAAAGTCAGTTTTAAACATACTGGTACTTGACATTTACAATGAATATTATCATGGCAATCAATGCAAAAATTAATGGCAAATTATGGATTCTGAAACAAGAAATAAATGTATGGCCACTTTTTTTACAAATGGCATAATTACAAAAAAACATCATGTCATCATCTAAAAAAAGTAAATTATACATCAAAAAACATTATGTTATAGCATAGACATATTTCAATTTGCTACCAAATATTATTTTTCATTTTCATGTTATTTTCATGTTCTGAATGTGCAGACCTCAAAAATTGCACATCCTTGGGCTCATCTTCATGAATACATACATTTGCCTCTCAATCTGGGTGAATTCTTATGGAATTTTAGGGAAAAATGTCTTGCTGACATTATAACTCATATAGAGATGCAGCAAACTCATGAATACTTTTTTCATGCAGTTTTAAGAGGCCAAATAAAAATATTTCTGACTTTAGGTTTAGTATTTCAAACACCATACTGGTGACTTTTGAACTGTTTTCTAAACCTTTAACATGCAGAAAATCAAAAGGTGGATCACTAATGACAGCATATGCAGGGTACGTATGTTGTATCAGTCAATCAGACCAATCACATTGCTGAATTGGATATCACAGTAATAATATTATAACATTACCCTCTGATTGAGTATATTTCACATTCTTCTGCTAATCTGATAATATCAGCTATTATCTCTTCTTGCAACAGTAGCTTAAGTCCCCAAATGGAACTTCCTATATGACCCTATTCAGCAAGAGAAATATATTTCATTTTGGTCAATAATTCTCAATGGCCATTTACATCTCATTGAGAGTGTAGGAGACAGATGACAGTGTTCCATTTACTATCATTGTGTTTACTGTACGTTACACCAACCAATGTAACCATGGAAACAGTGAATGTGATGACAGCAGAGAATGAAACATTTCAAATAAATATTATTATTATAACTATGTTTGGGGATAAATACAAGTCACATGGCTCTCTTGCCCTCAATGAGGTATCGGCAGCCATTCACGAATAAGTTTTATCACTATCAATGATCACTTCAAATTTCTGTACTACAATGTTCACATTGTCTGGGGTTACCAAGACTCACAACATGATATATTTTGTTAATGATGCCAAAGTAGATGACCACAATAATCTTTAACAACATACATTTGTAATGTAAATGCACATGAAGGCTTGGTAACATAATGTCAATTCACATGAACCCTTGTTAATATGTCAATGCATATCAACGCTTGGTAACATAATGTCAATGCACATGAACTTTTGGTAACATAATGTCAATGCACATGAACTTTTGGTAACATAATATCAATGAACATAAACCCTTGGTAACATAATGTCAATGCACATGAACCCTTGGAAACAACATGTCAATGCACATGAACCATTGATAACATAATGTCAATGCACATGAACCCTTGGAAACAAAATGTCAATGCACATGAACCCTTGCAAACATAATGTCAATGCACATGAACCCTTGAAAACATAATGTCAATGCACATGAACCATTGGAAACATAATGTCAATGCACATGAACCATTGGAAACAAAATGTAAATGCACATGAACCCTTAGAAACATAATGTCAATGCACATGAACCCTTGGAAACATGTCAATGCACATGAACCATTGATAACATAATGTCAATGCACATGGACCCTTGGAAACAAAATGTCAATGCACATGAACCCTTGGAAACATAATGTCAATGCACATGAACCCATGGAAACATAATGTCAATGCACATGAACCATTGAT